CCCCGCGTGCAGCCTCTTCCTGGGTGCCCGCGCCCGTGCGCCGCTCCGGCCCCCTCGCCCCACCTCGGAGCAAGCGGCCCGGGAGACTGGGGCTCACCCCCAGCCACAGCCACAAAAAGAACCTCGGTCACACGCGACGCGGCCACCCCGGACACAAGTTAGGTCCCTTGTCCTTTGGCACTCCGTGAGCCTGGGAACAGCCATTCCTGGAGGCCGGGCTCATCACGAGAGTTTTGTTTTGTTTTCTATCTTTTTTTAACGTGTGGGATGTGTCTCCTAGGCTGTGTGCTCCCTGAAGGCAGGGACGGTGCCCGCTGGAGCCCAGAACCGAGCTCTTAGGCTGGGTTCTTTACAGGGGCGGGGGGTTGGTGTTGTGTGTGTGTGTGTGTGTAGCCCAGAGGGGGTGGGGTGTGTGTGTGTGTGTACTCCTGTATATGTGTGTGTGTACTCCTGTGTGTGTGTGTGTGTGTGTGTGTGTGTGTGTGTGAACTCCTGTATATGTTCAGAGGCAGAGAATTGTTTAAGGGAAATGGCTCACGCTGTGGTTGAAGGCTGCCAAGTTCCGAATCCGTGGTGAGCTGGGGGCTTCTCCTGACTCCTGTGCTTGCAGGGACTGAGGAATCCATAAATAGCCGGTCGGTCCACAGGCTGTTGACTCACGGGGCTGAGAACGCTGGAAGCCACATGAATCCCCAAATCGGTAGGTCATAGGGCAGGCTACTGGCACTGAGGGGCCGAAGTTGCCTCTCCCAGAACAGGCGGGTCCTAGAACAAGCTGCTAGCTCAAGACCCAAGAACTGGAGGTCAGATGGTGACCTCCCGATGCAAGATCCATCACAAGTGAGATTGATGACAGAGCGTCCAGTATATATTGGATGAGACACCCTCAAGGAAGCGCCTCTTGAGTAAGGGTGATGTGAGTAAGAACATGACTCATGGAAGGGTGTGACTGCAGATACAGCCATATTCCTCTGCCTCACGAACACATAAGGGCTGTACAAGACAAAATGGAGGATCGTGGCATCAGTCACACAACAGAGGACAATTACTCAGTCACAAGATCAAGGCCAGCCATACCATCCTGGGGATCATGGCCTGGGCAAGCTGATAGATAACATTAACCAACACAGACACTGTGTGCTGGGTGACTGGGAATTAACGTGTGGATGGATGAATGTACAACGGTTCAGGCATCTGCTGAACACAGAACCTTCCTTTGTCCCTCCACAAGCACACGGTTCAGGACAATCCTTATGCCCTGGATCTTTTAGGAAGACTTCAAGTCCAGGTAAGGGCAGGGAGGGCAGTGGAACCGTTTTGAGGCTAGTTTTTGGCTCTCTCAGCTTCCCCTACCCACAGCCCTTTCACCCTCCCTAACTCCCACTCCCCACGTCCCCCACAACAGAAGCCATGCCAGGACTACAAAGAAACATGTAAACATTCCTGTGGGCAGATGTCCCAATGAAAAGAAAGACCGTAGACTTAATAAGAAGCTAAGCTGCTCTTCGTCCATTATTTCAGCAATAGCTAAGTGGTGTCCAGAAGGCTTCGACAATTTCCAGAGGCCCTGGAAACAAACTATTTCAAGTGTGTTGCTATTAGCAAACAGCTCCTTCAGCCAACACTGTACTCCATTTCCATCTCCAGTTGTCCACTGACCACTAGCTGAGAAGTCCAGGAAGATTTCCTCCTTACATTCGGATAGAGTCCAGGGGAAACTCCTGAGGTATGAAACCAGAAAGTCTATTCGGAATTGAAATTTTGTTCATAGGTGGTACTGTATTGGGGAATCACTGAATTGAATAGGCAGGCCTGAGTTAGACATTGACTAAGGAAGACGAAAGAAGAATTGATTCATTTGAATTGTGGTGCTGGAGAAGATTAGTGAAAGTACCACGGACTGCTATTAGGACAAACCGATCTACCTGGGAAGTACAGCCAGCGCTCCTTAGAGGCAAGGATGGCAAGACTTCATCTCACGTACTTTGGACATGTTGTCAAGAGAGACCAGTCCCTGGAGGAGGACATCATGTTTGGTAAAGAGAGAGGCAACGAAAAAGAGGTAGCCCCTCAGGACATCAGCTGACACAGTAGCTGCAACACGGGGCTTAAGCACAGGACCGTTGTGAGGATGGCGCAGGACTGTGCGGTGTTTCATTCTGTTGTGCATACGGTTGCTATGGATGGAAACCAACTTAATGTCTCCTAACAATGACAACAAATCTGACCAGAGAAAACAGACTTGACAGAGATACTAGCCTCAAAACAGTAGCACTTCTAATCTATTAAACATAAAGTGAGAAGTTATCATGGAAAATAATTGATCTTATTAATTCTGCTAATTATAATTTCAGTGAAATAGAAACAAAAGATAGAAAAACCATTTTTTTCATACATCAAATTCTCCAGAATTCAAATTTAAGAGGGAAAATGGGTGTTTTGGTAGGAGTATAATTTAATTGGACCTTAATTGAACACATTCGCCATTAGAATCTTAAAATTTGCCGTCTTAGCTTTATATCTAAAGAAATACTACTTGCACATATGGTGAATAAAGGTTATGCATGAAGCTCTACTAAAGTAGTATCTGTACAATACAAATAAAAGCCTAAGATTTGCTGGTAGGGAAATGATTAAATAAACTATGGAATAATCAAATGTAGAACACTGTATTGTATTCACTATATGATGCCATCAATTACAGACATAATTTTTACATCATTAGGAAAGAAAAAAATGCTCCCAATTAAACTGTGACACACAGCTTTCTTAAGATGGATCCTTTTTCTTTTATACGTATTTTGAAATCTAGTCAAGATTTAACACATAAATTTTTTAAAATCATGTGATCCTCGTGTATACATTGTAAGAAAAATGTACGTGAACTAAATGGATGAAAGCCTACCTAAATCTTCCCACGAGGAGCCTGACCCTTCTGAATCACGTTTCAACTCAGCAGCATCAATAGTCCAGGCTGCTAACATCTATTCCGCAAGTTTTGATACATATCCAGCAAGGACTGACAACTGCATCACTACCGCTGCCTAGCCAGCAGCCATTGTAAGGTGCCTATCAATTTTTGAGATCGTAAAATGTGAATACAAAGTGTGCCTTGGAATAATCAAGCCAAGGGTATTATGCAGCAGCTAAAGTAACCTAGGAAATGTCACCTGCTTTCACAGAAAGTTCTAATTCATATTGCTCTGGAGAAAAAATAGTAAGTTGCAACAAATATATTCAGCATGAGCTGAATATATGGGGCGGGGGAAGAGAAAAACCCATCTCTATTTCGGTGGAAGACATTGACATTTAGCACTCAAAAGACACTCATAACTTCTTTTGTTTTGCCATGCTACACTTTAGACCTTTGAAAGGTGAGTTACTCACTTTCCAAGGCTCTCTAATGAATAGCCATATGACAGCACAATGAGTCGTAGTAGATACTCCTGTACAATTAGTGTGCTCAATATAAGTATATAACCCCACAATTAGCTTTTGTTCTTTCCTCTCTGGTACAAGATGGACACACTTCCTAGAGAGGCAATAATCACTTGGTGTTCGTGAGGACAAAAATCAAACGTTGGGGGTGGTGAAACTGAAAGAAAGGAAGGACCTGGGCTCAAAACCAGAGAGTGACATGGACCCCAGGTTTAAATGCCACCAGCAACTGTTAGCTTCTCGACTCTGAGACTGTAAGAAATGGCTGGTGCCCATTCCTGAATGTTTGATCAAGGATCTAGTAGATGGATCCTGATCAGAATATGGAAGAGTGTGGAACAGAACTTCAAATTCACACGCAAACCAGACTTACTGGAACCGTGGCCACAGGGAACCCATGAATCGACTGTCCAGCAATAATCTTTATACCTTGAACTAACAGGCCAGTGGGTGGAAAGTCTTATGGATCCAGTGGCGGTGGAAGCATCTCAGCACTGATGTGGGTCTCCATGTGGCTCTTCCAGCTCCAGAACTCTGGCTCCCTTAGCATAGTTCCATGTGACTTGTCAGCAGGAAGATGAAGCAGTGTGCTGGTGTTTGCCACCTCAAGGCAGGAAGACAGGAACTCCCAGGATCTTCAAGAGAAGGCCATGCCTACAAAAAGGCCTCATTGGCTATGACTTGATTGACAGGCTAGACTCCACCCCTTTGCTCAAGTTGACAGGAGATGATGTAACTGCCCCAGGGACTTTTACTCACAATCCCATGGAGGCTGCCATCTTGCATTGCTGTCACTCTTGAACTGTTCGGATGCTTGGTTGTGTTACAATTACTCCTCACTTATCACCATAGTTAGGTTCCAAACTCCAGGTCATTATGAAAAGTTAACGATAGATAAAAGTAGGAACCAGGCCCCATCTTTGGCTCCAGAATCACCTGATTGCTCACTACCTGTTGGGTGTCCTCTGCGTGACCACGCCTTCCCCACCAGAACCCACAGGGGCCTAGGCTGGGGAGGTGAGTGGGGGACAAATGCTGCCCACTGTTGCCACCTCCTGGTGCCTTCTCTGGGAGTGGACTCTGCTTGTTCTCTGTCAGCCTTAGTTCCGAAATCCGGTGCCACCCCCTTTCTTCTTACCTTATTCCCTCGCCAACCTCCCTGACACCTTTGGACCCTACTCAGCTTCTCTCTGCCCTCAAACCTCTCATCGTCCTGCCTACACCCCACATCCTTTGTGGTCAGAGTGAAATGTCTTGGCCAGATGGGAAAGGGCATTATGTGGCTGGTCCTCCGCCATCCCTCATCTGACCAGATGTAGCTGGAGCCTTCGTTCAAGGTGGCTCACAGAGGTGTCCAGGCCCAGTTGTAGCCCAGTGTGGGGCCTGGATATTGGAAGGCCCAGCTGAGCATTTCTTTAATGTTGCAAATGAGGAATGACATGTTGGATAATGAGATTAAAGAGGAGTATGTGTATGTGTATATTTTTTAAAGTAGCAGGGCACCTGATGACAACCCTAAGGTATGTGTCTCCTGGACTTTCTTTACCTGGGATGCTAATGCATTCTTTGTGTTGGGGTCTCAGTTCCTGGTGACAGAATAAAATCCTAATTGACACAAGCCATACATGTGTAGAGATAGATGAGAAATATCTGGAAAATAGATGCTAAATCTAAAAGAGGATAACTGGAGGTGGGACTCTGCTATGAGGGGGTGTTGGGGGGACTTTAGCTTTTAACTTCTTGAATTTTGTACATGAAAGTCTTAATATGCTACCCATGAAACAAAAACAAGAACAGTACATTATTATAGGACTGATACCAGAAATTCCCCACCCCCAAAAGATGGTTTCTACAGGAATGATTTCATATCCAGTCAAAGAGTCAAGCAGGCTTGATTAATTTATTCTTAGGGAATGCAGAATGCGCCAGCCACTTCCTTTCCTCACTAGACACGAATTATCTTTGATATAATCCACCCTGGGTGTACTTGGTTCTCAAGAAAGAGCAAGATTACCAGATTGATTATTTTCCAGTCATGAGTGCCCTATTCTCATGTGCTCTTGTATCTTGTAAGGATTACAAGCATCATTAAGTTTGGTGTGTAAAAAGCACACACACACAACTACAGAACGACTATATTACTAATGATGGTAATAGCACTTACAATTTAGTTGGGTATTTTCTAGGTGCCAGGCACTGTGTGAGGCACATAGCCTCACTTAATCTTCACAAAGGTCCTGTGAGGTAGTCCTATCATCCGCTCCCTTAT